AGACGAATGAGGGGGGGAATCTCATAGAGACTTATAAGATTCTAACAGGACTAGACAGGGTAGATGCAGGGAGGATGTCCCCGATGGTGAGTGTGTCCAGAACCAGGGGTCACAGTCTGAGGATTCGGGGTAGACCATGTAGGACGGAGAAGAAGCAGCATTCCTTCACCCAAAGAGCGGTGAACCTGTGGAATTCATTACCACAGGAAGTAGCTGATACCAAAACATTGAATGTATTCAAGAGGCGGCTGGGTGTAGCATTTGGGGCAATGGGGATCAAAGGTTGTGGGGAGAAAGCAGGATTAGGCTATTGAGTTGGATAATTAGCCATGATCGTGATGAATGGCAGAGCAGGTTCGAAGGGCCGAATGGCCTCCTCCTGCTCCTATCTTCTATGTTTCTATGTTTGGTGGAGAGGGTCTCTGAACCATAGTACCATCACCCTGTGCCCACTTTGAAATGTCTAAATTCAACTTCTCACCTGAAATTGCCTTTTCCATCATCCTCCTTCACTTCAAGAGAGACAGTGAAGTTGTAGCTGTCACTCTCAGGACTGGCACCGCACATATCTTTCACTTTTGTCGTTTGTTTAGAAGATCGACGAAAAGCAGTGGCAAAACTGTACAGAATGCGGCTGGCCTGGAGAAAACGTGGGGGAAACATGCAAATTTAAATCCTCTGCTGCAACAGCAAGGCTCTCTCCTACTAGGTTATCTTTCAAATTTGCTTATACTCCCATCTCAAGAAGGAGATATTGACCTTGGAGGGGGTGCAGCACAGATTCCCCAGAATGATCCCAGGATTAAAAGTGTTAAATTACGAGGGTTACTCACATACGTAGGCTTGTATACTGTTGAGTACAGTAGTGATCAGACTGTGGTATTTATAACCATAAATGTTGTTGCTGGGATAGAAGGTCAGCAAATATTTTCTCTGGCAGGCCAGTTAAGAACAATGTATCACTTTATAATTACAGGTAGGTCGATCAGCGATGATATCAGGGAACACTTTTTCACACAAAGTAGTCTGAAACCTGAACATTCTCTAACGAAAAGCTATGGTTATAGTGGATTAATGGAAGCTTTGAACCCAGACTGGTACATGTTTGTTGGGAAGGATATCAAGGGACATGGAATAAGGAAGACAGATGGATAAAAGGTTCCAATCAGCATTGATTTAACAGATGTGCCAAAGGTAAGCCCCTCTGTTCCTATGAGTACAGATCACACTCTGTGATTGGAAACAAGCTGGAGTTGGACAGTATATAGATTTTGCCAACAGAATAATCTATTGTCCCGAGTGCTTAGGCCCATATGAGATCTGGCATTAAAATAAATTCTAGAAGTAACCCAAGAATGCCTAATATAGTTCTGTTCAAACCAAAGATATATTCCCCTTTCCACCCCATGTGCCTTCCATAGGGACCACTCTCTCTGCGACTCCCTCGTCCGCTCCACACTCCCCACTAACACCACCATCCCCAGCACCTTTCCCTCCAACCGCAGGAAGTGCTACACCTGCCCCTACCTCCCTCCTCATCTCCATTCAAGGCACAAAACAAATCTTCCACATCAGACATGGGTTCACCTGCGCATGTACCATGTGATCTATGCATCCGCTGCTCCCAATGTGGTCTCCTCTACATCGGTGACACCAAGCGGAGGCTCGGAGACCACTTTGTAGAGCATCTGCTCTACAACCTGCCGGTTGCAAAACATTATAACTCCCACCCCAGGGTGACATGTCCAACCTGGGCCTCCTCCAGCGTCACAATGACGCCACCCGGAAAGTGGAGGGGCAGCACTTCATAATTCTGCCTCGGGAGCCTACAGCCCGATGGCCTAAACGTGGATTTTACCAGTTTCAAAATCTCCCCACCACCCTCCCGGCCTCACCCCTTGACCAACCCTCCCCTTCATCTCCGTTTCTTTGACCTGACACACCTGTCCGTCTTCTCTCCCACCTATCCACCACTCATCTCACTAACCAATCCCCACCACTCCCTACTTGCACTCACCTATCGCCATCCCACCTACCATCCCCAGTCCCATCCCTCCTCTCTATTTATTTCAGAGCTCCCTTCCCCCTCCACCCCATTTCTGAAGAAGGGTCCCGACCCAAAGCGTCAGCTTTCCTTCACCTCTGATGCTGCCTGGCCCGCTGTGCTCCTCCAGCTCCACACTTTGCTATGTTTGTTCAAACAGGGTACCCCAGAACCCGAGGGTTAAACAAATGCATCCCTAAAACAAATTATGTGCAAATTTCAGGTTCTCTGTTTGGGTGTTTCTCTCCCCATCACAGGATTTTTCCAAAAGAATAAAACTCACAATAAAGGTAACACACAGCCCGAGTACATTCAAACTGCTTAAAAACACACTCTTGCACTTACTTTCAAAGTGCTCAAACTCTGCCTGCACCCAGTTTCAAATTTTCCATTGGCTTTCAAACTCTCTGTACTAACTTGCTGGGCTCTAGCTAAGCTCAGCCTCAGTGACAAGGCTGCAACTGCCAGCGAGTCTATTAAAGGAAGCTGCTGTCAACCCACACAAATCCCACTAAAGTCACCAATAAATAAAACCCAATATATCTTTGATGCAAAGTGCATTTAATAAAAATTAATCCTTAAAAAAATGTTCAGACTTCCATCAATCGCTGCACAGTTTTATTTTGTTTTTGCTTTTGCTTTATATAGTGGGAAACAAGATGGAAGGGTGAGAGTTCCACAGAATTTCACAATATATTGTAGGGTTCCTTAAAAAACTAAAGTTGAAAACCATTTGCCTAACCACAAGTTCATGAACCAGAAAGCACTGTGAATAAATATTTATTTGAAGCCTATACAAAAGATAAAACATTTTAAAGCAGGAATAGAAATTGTTTCACTTATCAAAATACTGTCCCTTCTTTGTTTCCTCTCCCAAAATAGTGCACTAAAACAATATCGTGACTGTCCTGTGTCTGCTATAAGAAATTTCCAAACAATTGGGATTTCCAAAGAGTAAATTTCTGTACTGGAAAGGTTATAGTGTATCATTATGTCACAAGGTCAGGGACTTCTACACACGCTCCACTAAGGCAGTAGAGGTGTGAAGACCATTGGAAAGATAGAGTCACACAGGACATGTTGTAATTTCCCCGAAGGGTGTAGTCAGGTTTCTAGAATCCATTACTGGGTACAAAGTGACTCACCACAAAGACAAATAGGAACTGATCAGAGAGAGAGGCTGTATGGATTTGTAATGGGTAGATCACATGAAACAGAGTTGAATGTTTTAAGAAATCATTAATGTGATCCATAAGGGAGCGTCTGGGGATATTACCACTATGGACTTTCAGAATGCATTGTGACTCCACATTACAGACAGTTAGCAAGAATGAGAACTCGTGGAGTTGGTGGCAACTAATTGACATAAACAGTGAATTAATTAAAGGTAAAGTCACCAGCCAACCAAGCTAACTGGCGCTCCAGAACTGATCAAGTGAAATTCATACCGTGTAGAGTCAAATTGTCAGAATGTGACTCACGGCATCTCTCAGGAATTTGGTCAGGTTTTTGCTATATCTAATGACTTAAATGAAGGAATTTGGAGTTGTATATCTTCGTTCTCCAGCAATACAATTGTAGGGTGGCCACAGGAAGTATTTCTGTAATGGGACACTGCTAGGCTAAGCAAGTGGACAAAACTGCTGCGTTAAAATTCAATGTTGGAAAGTGTTAGCTCACTCACTTTAGGCCCAAGATATAATCACAGTATTTCTGAAATGGCACGAAGCTGGAAACTGAGAGTGAGGAGACAGTGGGGTCCACACACAGGAAATACTAATAATCAGCAGACAAGTTATTAGAATATTAGCATTTATCTCATGGCAGCTGGAATACAAAGAGATAGGAATTATATGTCTTCAGAAAAATTTCAGTCACACCACATCAGGCATACTTGATCCACTCTTTAAAACCTAAGAAACAGCAACAGGATGAGGCCCTCAAGCTATTCAATAGGATCATGGCTAATCCAGCATTCCTCATGTCCACCTCCCTTCCTTTTCTACATAACCTTTTATTCCTCTAATGTATCTATCTATCTATCTATCTCTGCCTTAAATATACACAAGGGCTCTGCCCCCACAGCTCTGTGGCAAAAAGAGTTCCAAAGACACAAACCTCTGAGAAAAGAAATTCCCCGTCACTCTTAAATTGACGGTCCTTTTTACTGAAATTACACCCCTGAACCCAGACTCTCCCTACAGAAGAAACAATTTCTCAGTTGGTTACAATTGATTAGATTGCATTATTAAAATGCATGATGGCAAATACGCATTTGCTACTTTTAAAGGAATAAATGCATGCATTGCAAAAGTTGCATATTTCCATCTGGTGCAAGGTAAATAGCTAACAAAATAAATTAAGGGTAGTATTAGATCCAAACAGAAGTCACAAAGTTGCTATAAAAAGTGCTTGAAGATTGGGAGCAGTTTAAAATTTTCAGTAAAAGAGGACCAAAAGGAGAAAAATGGGAGTAAACTTAGAAGGAAGGTAAAGACAACTGTAAGAACTTCTACAAGCATGTTAAAAAAAGGATAGCGAAGAAAAATGTAGGTCCTTTACAGGCTGAGAATTGACAATGGAAGGCAAGGAAATGACAGAGCAATTAAATAAATACTTTAGTTCTGTTTGCACAGGAGGCAGCACAATTAACTTTCAAAATACAAGGGAACCAAGGGTCTATTGGGAAGGAGGAATTGGAAGAAATTAATAATTAATTTAAAGTAATTAATGGGAATAAAAGTGGTGAATCCCCAAGGCCTGATAATCTCCAGGCTGCTAAAGGAGATGGCCATGGACACACTGGATGCATCTTCTGCTTGAATTGGAAAATGGCAAATGTAACTCCACTGTTTAAAAAAGATCAGGAGGTGGAGAAAACAGGGAATAATTGTACAGTTCGACTAACATCTGTGGAAAGTAAAATGCTAGTCTATCATAAAGAATGCAATAACAACACACTTAGAAAACATCAATGTGATTAGACAAAGTCAACATGGATTACCGAAAACGAAATCATGTTTGACAAACCTACTGAAGTTTTTTTGAGGTTGCAGTGAATAGAACAGATAAGAGAAAACTGCGGATATGGTGTACTTAGATTTTCAGCAACCTTTTGATAAAATTCCATGTAAGTGGTTACTGTGCAAGATTACAGCACATGTCATTAGGGTAACAGGGTGACAAGGATTGAGATTTGGATATCAGGCAGGACACAGTAGGAATAAATGAACCTTTTACAGAGTGAAAAGCAGTGAGTAGTGGGGCACAGGGATCAATGTTTAGGCCTCAGCAATTTACGATGGATCTCAACGATTTGGATGAGTGAATTGAATGTTCCTATTTCTATGTTCGCTGATGACACAGTTGGGATTGAGAGGAGGATGTGGCAAGGCGTCAGGGTAATTTAGACAAGTTGAGTGAGTGAACATGGCATATGGTTATCCACTGTGGTAGGAAGATCAGAATGGCAGAGCATTGTTTGAACAGTGATATATTGGGAAATATTGATGCCCTTTTACATCAGTCACTAAAAGCAAGCTTGCAGGTGCAACAAGCAGTTAGGAAGATGTGGCGTGTTGGCCTTCATTGGAAG